TATCCAAGCTCTTGCAAGATAAATTTTAGCCATGAACCTTTACAAATTTCAAGTGTTAAGCTTCTCAATTTAGTTTTTATGGTAAAGTGAGAGAGAATAGTTTATTTTTTACTTCTCCATGTAATAAGGTTATCATCAACAAATATAAAGAAATTAGATTTTGATTACCTATATTCTAAGAATTTATCCCAGTTAGTATCAATATATACATTTATTCATTGTTAGTCTATGTCGTTTGTAAACAATAAACTTTTATCAAATGTTGAGTTTAAATACTTCAAAATATGCATTCATACGTTGATCTTTATAATTATGCACAAATTGACTAATAATACACAATGCATAGACAAGTTATGAAGTACATCAATCTCACTATAGGTCTTTGGTATATTAATTTATCAATTGAGACGTGACTTAGAATAATAGACAACTTTAAACCTTCCTCCATTAGTGTACTAGTTGATTGACATATTTGTGCCTTGTAAAAAGTTTAACACATAATATTTGAGACAAAAGAAAATTTCTTTCTTCAATCTAGATACTTCAATTCCAATAAAATATTTTAAGGAACAAATTTCTTAATTTTAAACTCTTTTGATAAATACTATTCAATATGTTACTTTCCTCAAGATAATTATAATAATAATGTCATCTACATATAAAATAAGTGTAATTATCTTATCAAATTGTTTCTAAAAAAATAAAGTATAGTTTGAATTAGTTTGATGATATCAAATGTTGTTATATATTTTGTAAATCTTTTAAACCATGCTTGTGGAGATTGTTTTAATTCATATAAAGACTTCTTCAATTTACATAGCTTTTAATTGTGTTTTTCCGAATAATGTAACTTGATGGGAGTTTCATATACACTTTTTTATTTAATTGCCCTTGTAGAAAGACATTTTTTACATCAAATTGCTTCAATCGCTAGTCTAGGTTTGTTATGAAAGACAACAATACTTTAATAATATTAATACAAGAGCTAAATTCTCTATATAATCAATTTTATATGATTGGGCATGTCTTTGTCACAAATTTTTCTTTAAATCATTTTATGTACTAGTCAGTTTGCTATGAAAGACAATACTTCAACAATATTAGTACAAGAGCTAAATTCTAGATCATTTTATGATATCATCTATCATGAAATGTGACTTTCACATCTATAGGAATCGATGTAGAAAGTCTAATATTTTATTTATTTATTTATTTTATTTATTCATAACCTCTATCCAATTACCCTATCTATTGATCTAGAGGTCTCCTCTCCCTTTTATATTATATTTTTATTATTTATTATATTTTTTAGAAACTTGAATTATTATTAGATTAAGAGAATTGTCACTAGCGGGATTCGAACCCAATACCTTATAGTCGGAGGTCGATACTCCAACCACTAAGCTACTAAGATTTTTCGATAATAACTTATACATAAATTATATTTATATACAAATAAAATATATATATATCCATGTAAATATATAAATATAAAATATATAAATACAAATATATTTATATATTTATATGTTGGATGTGAGGGCGCTCGAGGATGAAAGTGTGTGTCGAGTGAATTTTCAAAATTTGATGTCAAATTTGTGAGCTGGTCTCTTTATATGGATTATAACTTAATGACAAAATATAATCTTTATAATTAATTTATATAATGATATAAAATAATTTTTTTCTTTATTTTATATCATTATATAAATTAATTATAAAGATTATATTTTATATTATTATAAATAAATTATAAAGATTATATTCTATCATTAAATTACAAATTCATATAAAGAGATTCGCTCACAAATTTGACATCAAATTTTGAAAACCTACTTGACACACACTTTCACTTTCGAGCGCGCTCTCACATCCAACATATAAATATAAATATATTTGTATTTGTATTTATATATTTTATATTTATATATTTACATGGATATAAATTTTTATTTGTATATAAATATAATTTATTTATAAGTTATTATCGAAAATTCTAGTAGTTTAGTGGTTGAGTATCGTCTTAATTCTAAGGTACTTGGTTCAATCTGCAAGTAACAATTCTCTAATTTTATAAAAGACTTTCTACATCGGTTCATCCGGGAACCGATGTAGAAAGTGCTTTCTACATCGGTTCCTAACTAAACCGATGTAGAAAGTCTTGAATTTACTTTCTACATCGGTTCGTAACCGATGTGGAAAGACCGATGTTAAAAGTGATTTCTATACTAGTGTTTGTGTTTTAACCATGTAAATCCATCAACATCCTATAAACTTTTTTCCTAGTGGTTTATTAACAAGGATCCAAGCTTCATTCTATTTGTAGGGAGTTAATATTCTCATTCATATAAATTTTCCATCTTGGGTCAATTAAGACTTCTTGTAAAGCCTTAGAAATAACTATAGAAGATAACTTATTCATAAATATATTATTTGTTTCTTATAGTCTATACTTGATACATAATGACTCCTAGAATATTTAACTTTACTAAATTGGTCAAGTTCATATGTATGTTTAAGAATACCTATAGTTAGACAATTTGAAAATTATCTTCTAGCTAACAAACATTGATAATATCTTCACTAAGAGGTTAATATGGTATTTCAATGTTATCTCCATCAATAGATTCATGTGGTGCTTCAATATTATCTCCATTCAAAGATTTAAGTGGTGCTTCAATATTATGATCAAATTCTTCAATGGACGAACTCATAATACCAAGGTATTTTCCTTCCTCATCTCCTAAATGATGATGATATGAAGTTGCATCACTTGGATCAATGCTACTACATTTTATAACCTCATACTCTAGAGTTTGAATTTCTTATTAGTTCATTCCACGAAGTTTAGACTAAAAGACAAACTACATTGTATCTTCATGAAAAACCATATTCATTGTTATATAGACATGATGTGTTGGAGGATAACATTTATAGTATTTGTTAAATATAACATTTGCAACAAATATACACCAAATGAATCTTGGGGTTAACTTATTGAAGTGATGCTTATGAAAATTAATAACTGCAACAAATCCAAATACTCAAAGTGGTAAATTAAAAACTATTGGGGTTGACAAGTGAGAGTTTGAAAATATGTCTCAAACATAATAGACCCTGATTTATTAAATAAGTTCATTACAAAAGTTTTTACAAATATTGTCAGTTAAAAGTTAACTAACCTTAAAAAATTGATACATAAACATCATATTTGTGTCTATAGTTCGATTTGTGTCCACATTACGATTGATGTTGAAAACATAGGCACAAATTCATTTTTCATTTATTTTTGAAAGTTGACAAAAAATATAGTCGATGAAGTAAACACAAAATAAGTTTGTTAGGCCGACACAAATAGAGTCCACTAAACTTATGTCATTATAATTTTTTATTTTGATCCTCATTTAATTTAGTATAATTTAATTTTTTTTAGTTTATCCCATTTTATTTCATTTTTAATTCTCATTTATCTCATATATATATATATATATATATATATATATATATATATATATATATATATATATATAGTGTTGTAAAATAAGGGGTATTACAAAATTTAGAACGTTACGAGAACGTAGGTAGTTAGGGTTTTGGGCCTAATCTACACCTGTAAGTAGAGACCACTTCACACTCTTCTAGACACACCTCTCTCATCTTCTTTTCTCTATTTTCTTCCCGTTCTACTATTATCTTGAGTTTATTTACTCCTTTCAGAGTTTCTTGTTAGTTTATGAGATCCTCTGAAATTTCGAGAAATTCCTGTTGTATCCTGGGGGACTTGCGCAATACACTGCGGATAAGTTCTTAAGGACAGTGATTATACACACCTCAGGAATAAAGTTTGTTCGTGTCTCTGTCAGCTTTTACACCATATATGCACAATTTGACCTATACTAAAATAATTTTAAATTTTGATTGCTTTATGTGGAAGGTTTCATAATTATAATTCCTTTGTGTAGTTTCGTTTATTATTGTGGTAATCAAGAGATTTAACAAATCTCTTCGTGGCTCTATCAATCAAGTTTGAAAGGAGTGAACTTTGTGGCTCTAACAAAATAGAGTTTGTTAGGCCAATACAAATAGAGTCCACTAAACTTATGTTATTGTAATTTATTTTGATCCTCATTTAATTTAGTATAATTTTATTTTATTTTCAGTTTATCCCATTTTATTTTATTTTTAATTATCATTTATTATATATATATATATATATATATATATATATATATATATATTCTTTACCTCTACTAAAATAATTTTAAATTTTGATTGCTTTATGTGAAAGGTTTCATGATTATAATTCCTTTGTGTAGTTTCATTTATTATTGTGGTAATAAAGAGATTTAACAAATCTCTTCGTGGCTCTAGCAATCAAGTTTGAAAGGAGTGAACTTTTTATTTAACAATTTTATTTTATTTTTCTCTCTCTTCATCAACTTCAACAAATGGAACATAGAAAAGGATAAGTTTCAAAATATGAGCAAAATGAGCTACACCAATATGACATGAAAATGGAATCCAGAATATGCATTATAAACTAAGAGGTGAAAATTCTCCAAATGACCATACATAAACAAAGTAGCTACAAAATCTTCAACCAAAATTTTTATCAAATAATTTATAAGCATAATTTAACCAACTCATAGTCACTTTTTTATTATTATTATTTACTATTGCAAAACACAAAATGAATCTCTAAACATTATAAAAAATTAGCCTCACATAGTGGATTAACAACTTCAAATGAGCTATTTATTTTGATTCAGCCAACAACTGTGAGGTGAACTTGTTGGCAATATTTTTTGCCTAAATAATCCACATTCTCCTCTGCTTCGTCCTTGGTTTCCACTTCTTCCTTTTCTAGACCAACATCCACACTAGAGATGGAGATGGTGATCCAACAACAACGAATCTTCTACCTTTGGCTCAAAACCCTAAACACCTTCTCAACATTTTTTCCTTAGACGATGCCTGGTTGAACCCATAGAGTAGTCTCCATGGTCCCTTCCATCTTCCTCAGTCTGCCTCTCCAACTCATTTTCTAGCGAGGTTCTATTTTGTAGGGCTTGAGAGGAAAAGTTATTTGTGCAATACACTTAACAAAAAAGAGGAAGATTGAAGATAATGTAATAGAATATGTTTACTTGACATTCAATGGTTTAGATTTAATTGAAGTAATCTTTTCAATCATAACTGTTAGATATGAATTAAATGAAAGCAATATGGAAAGAGACAATATTTAATAAAATTGATATATATGATTAAGAGGGAAAGAAATCAATTATTTATATTTAGAAATATTATATTTTTTATTAATATATAGTATATTAATATAAAAAGAAAAGAAAGTAAGAAGAAACTAAATGGAAAACTGTAATACAAAGATCAACTAAATCTAAACTCAAGTAAACCATACCCATTTCTAAAAAGATTTGTACTAATGTTATCCGTCAAGTTATTATGCTAAGTAAATTTAAATTTAGTGTCAATACCAATATTAGCTAACTTATTTGCGCATTTATTGTCTTTTCTACAAATGTGTGAAATAGAAAAGTTAATTTATTTAGCCATAATCATGATCCAAAAATTTCTATTAGACCAAGGAACAAATTCAACTTGCAAGCATGTATGGTAGTCACCTAATTAGTTTCCAACCACAGACTGCTCCAACCTCTATCAATAATAGATTTGATTGCAAGCAGGGCAACATGTCGTTTAACATGAAGCATAATATTAATACCAATAAAAGAAGAGAACCCCCTAAAAAATTCACCCCTGCTACCTCAAAATATATTGTCATTAGAAGCTAAACTTGTCACACCACTAACCGCTCTTTCAATATTTCCTTTGATCCTACTAGCCACAGGGGAAAGTTCATATGACATGTTACATTTTCGTGGATCTTCACAGATGAGTATTATTAGTGTTGAAATATTTAAGGATGGTGAAGTCCTTTACAACATTGTTCATCACACCATTAGTAAGGTTGTCACTGTACATGTTATTTGATGATGTTAATGGTTGTATGAACTGAGAAAGGATTTTGGTACTTGTGATAGTTCCTTAGTTTCCATACCATCCAAATAGTGTTAGTGAGGGCAACAAGATTGACATCTTTCATCTGAGAACTAAATTTACTTTATAGAAAGTTTAAAAGATTACCAAGAGAAGATAGATTCATACAAAATTTAAATACCGAATGTAACAAAGTCCAGAGAGGTTTGGTTGTGGAGCAATCAACATAGATATGTTCCACAGATTTCATGGCTTTATGGTAGAGTTAATATCACGAAGCAAGATGCACATCCTTCTTCTGTATGGCATCCTCTGTGTCAAGTCTATTATAGAGAAGTTTCCAAACAATTAAAGTTTTAGTTGAGGGTAGTTGAGGGAATGATTTTGTTCCAAACTAGCTTACTTCAAACTTTAATATTTGGATTCACAAAGATGTAATTACATGCTTCTTTGAGAGTAATGAAGTCGTTAGAGGTGGGGGAGCATATTACCTCATCATGTTTGTCCAAAACAATGATGTAGTAAAGGTGATGAGTTCCTAAGTTCCCATGGGGAGAGAGAGATTATTCCTTAGAGGATCATTAGATACATGACTGTAAGGGAAATTTCCTCCTTACCCTTATTCCTTAATTTACTTAGTATTTTTTTTCCTTCTGTTTAATTTCCTATACTCTTATTTAAATCTTATTTTTGTACGATCACTAAAGAACACCTTTTTTGGAAATCCACCACATTTTTTGGAGGAAAGGAGTCTTGGACCCAAGCCTTTGAAGCATGGACAACCCATGAGGGCGAGAAGGTCTATCATTGACCTTCTAGATGGGAAAGGGCACGACCTTAGAGGGCAAGGCAAGGGGGCAAACCCTTCTAGGTTAAAATTATGGCAACATGTGCTTCTAAAATCCATAATGCAATTCCCTCTAGATCCCTCATCCATGCTTATATATAAAAGGTTTTCAACCTCTTGCAAATGGTTAAAATTTGAATGAACGTTTGAACGTTCTTTTCTTTGAGTGTTTTTCTTCTCTTAGACTTATCTTGAACCTGGGTTCAATTGGTGGCAAGCACCACTCATTTTGAGTTGACCCATCCTCCAAGTGACATGCACTTCTCCATCCTCACCTCCACTTCTTATTTTCTCCATTCTCTTCTCATTTATTGTCGTGGTTGATCCTTCTTTTTTAGCTCTTGTTATTTTGTTATTTCTTTCTTAAATCCTTGGAAGTGCACCTTTGCACCTAGATAAATGATTAGCTTAGTGTCCGGTGGGAATCTTTCTTGAATTTTCTCTACTTAATTGTCTCAAACACCTGATCTACTTAACTTAAAAAAAATGCACTTATATCAAGAGGCGAGGGATCACATTTGTGTTCTTAATTTTTGTGAAAAACTTTAATATATGTGGGGATGTAGCTCAGATGGTAGAGCGCTCGCTTAGCATGCGAAGACGATGATCGCATCTTCATGTTTGTGAGTTTGTGTATGGATCATGATGTAGCCAAATGACAATGTTCATTCTCTGCAATTTTCATTTGAAAAATATTGTGAGGTTGGTGTTCTCTTTTTGCTCACCTAAATTTCATTTGATCACATGCAGAATATTTAGCCTTATAATCACCAAAGATGTATTTCCAATTTTTTGTTCTTGTTTCAAATACTTGAACATATTTGATAAAATGTTTAGCTTAGTATACACATCTTGAATTGATAGTAGAGCCTAAACATAGGAGGTAAGTTTTCATGATCATCTAAAACAATTTTATTATTATTTGTCAAGTTTGGAATCAATACTTACGAACAAAAATATGCAACTGAAAAATTGTTTGGGTTGACACACTCTAGGCCTTTTTAAAACAAAAAAAATTGTGAAATTGTATGCTAATTGACTCTAGAATTGTATGCATCCTGATCACTAATATTAAAAATCAAATTAAATCTAAAATAAAAACTACTCCATAATTTACATTATTTTAATTTAAGATAATGATTAAAAATATTAAATTTAGTTTGATTTCAAATTTTTCCAACCCTTGTTTTAGCTTGGGCTTGAGGTTGGTGCTCTTCTTTTACTCACCTAAATTTCATTTAATCACATGCAAAATGTTTGATAAAATGTTTTAGCCTTGGAATGACCAAAAAATGCATGATATGTTAACTACAAGTTGCTTCTAGTTCATATCAATTTGAGTATCTAAATTTGCTTACCTTTTTGCTTGAGTCATATATCTCATATGATACTTTGAAGTTTTTTGTTCTTGTTTCCAATACTTGAACATGTTTGATAAAATATTTAGCTTAGTGTATGCATCTTGAATTAATAGTAGAGCCCAAACATAAGAGCTAAGTGTTCATGATCATCTAATAACAACTTCATTATTATTTGTCAAGTCTGGAATCAATACTTAAGAAAAAAAATTGCAGTTGAAAAATTGTTTAGGTTGACACACTCTGGGCCTTTTTAAAACAAAAAAATTGTGAAATTGTATGTTAATTAATTCTAGAATTGTTGATCACTAATAGTTGCATGAATGGGTATGACAAATTAGTCACAACAATGTAGGAATCATAGTCTTCTTAGTATATGTTCTTTGTTAAAAAATGTTTAATTGCATGTTTAAAGTGTTTTTTGAATTTTATTCTACATTTTCTCTTTTAGTTTTTTAAAAGTTGTCTCAATATCTCTCTTTAGTATACCCTTTCTTGCTTTGAGTTTTTCTTATTTGTCTTAGGATCTTAAGTTTTGACTTTGTGGTTTTCTTTTATGGGAATTCTTTAGTGTTTTGGTTGGTGCACACATTTCCATTTGAACACCAACTTTTAAGAATTAAAGGACTTTTAAGATGTTTGAAAAATTAGGAAAATACCTGAGAGTTTTTTGTGATCATACCTTTAAAAGTTTATGTGGGAAGCCAAACACTTAGAGAGTTTGTTAGACTTGTGTTTGTTTAGCAAAACATGTCACACACCTCATCAGCGAAGGCAAGTAAGGTGGGAGATTCCCATGAAGGGCAAATGAAGGAACAATTCGATGCCTCCTTGGTGAAACTCCTTAGAGAAATGAACCTCTCTAGAGAGGAGAATTATTGTCGCCGTCAAAAGAGGCGGTCGGAGCGACACGATGGTTTTGCTTTGACTCGTGTTTTTAAAAGTGATGTTACAATGCCTTTAGATTGTTCGATAATCGGGCTGGACCTAAAGGCGAGATTTTCAAAAAAGGGTTCTGGAGTCGCCACCAATGTTTTATCCAGAAACATTGGAAAAGGAAGAAAAATAAGGCGTTGGTTTAGAAAAACCAACTTTGGCCATTATAACCAGAGTTGGGTAAGGGAGTTAGTTACGTGCATGAAAGGTATTAGCTTCCCTACGACGCCCCTTTCGGGTTGCATATGATGGACCGTTTATTTTATAAATAAAGAACTCTAAAATTACGCTTTTATCCTTATTTATTCATGTGCGAAATTTAAATTGTTGACTACATGGCCCTAACAGCTAATGCACAGATAGATGTAATAAGAAAGTGGTAAAAGAAGATAGGAAATGTAGGAACCTTCGAAGCAAGCTTTGTATTAAGGTTCTTGGAAAAGAAATGTGCTTTTTGGCAACCTTCACGCTCTACAGTGCTGATCGCTCTTTCTCGCAACACTACAGGACGCTTACTAAGAGCACTAAGAAACTCCAGAAATGCTTCGGAGGGATCCTAGGAGAATAATTTGAAGAAAGTGTAGAAGGGAAAGTTGTTTTGTGTTGTGAAAAGGGTGAGGAGGCCCCCCCTTTTATAGAAATTCGCGCCCATCAGGTTGGGACCGTCGTCTCGCCAAACAGGACGGCGGTCTCGCCATTAGCAAGTGGCGAGACCGCTGTCTCGCCCTTAGCCGATGGCGAGACGGCTGTCTCGCCAAATGAGACGACGGTCTCGATCCTTTAGGTGGAATTTCTTATTTTTCCCGTGCAAAAAACCTTCTTATTGTAAAATGGGGCCTATTGATCTATCCTGGGGTCCTTTTAGGCCTTGCCCATTTTCGAATGGAAGTCTTCTGCTCTTTATTTTGAGGTCGGACAAGATTTGGGTTCTAACTAGCCGACTGTTGGCCCGTTATGCCAAAAAGATCGGTTGGAGGGTGAAGGAGTTAACCCTCTTGCCCGTCTGTCCTTCAGATGCTCCTTCTTGTGGTAGCCGACCCTCTAGATGAAAAATGTGTGTGTGCCTCCGGGATGCTCCTTCATGTGGTAGCCGACCCCTTTGGACAAAAAGGTACGAATCTCCAGGATGCTCCTTCTTGCGGTAGCCGACCCCTCGGTTGATGAGTATGAACCCCCATTTGGTTGCTTGTAGCTTTGGGATGCTCCATCTTACGGTAGCCGACCCCCTCAACTGACAAGTGGTAGAACCTCAGGATGCTCTTTCTTGCGGTAGCCGACCCACCTCGGTTGATGAGTATGAACCCTCATTCGGTTGGTGCAGTCCACTTTGTAGGACTGGTGGTGATGACGGCTTACTGCTCTAGCTCATGCGCCGGTTGATGAGTATGAACCCCCATCTGGCTGGTTCAGTCCACCATTGTAGGACTGAATGAGTATGAACCCCTCATCTAGCTGGTAGAGTTTGCAGTCCACCATTGTAGGACTGGATGAGTATAAACCCCTCATCTGGCTAATGTAGTTCACTTTGTAGGACTGGTTGCAACTTACTACTCTGGCTCATGCGTAGTGGTTTTGCCTGTGTGCAGGTCTTTGTCTTTGGGACCTTCCTTGTCCCGAAGTGGTGGTGGCGGCTTACTACTCTAGCTCATGCATCGGTTGATGTCTTCGGGACCTTCCTTGTCTCGAGGTGGTGGTGGCAACTTACTGCTCTAGCTCATGCGTCGTTTCCATGGGGAGTGTTTCCGCTTTGGTAAATGTTTTTTTATTTTTCTGGTAAAGTCTTCCGGTGCGCCGGAGATTCTTTAATTTTTTGGCTTTTTCTGACAGTTATCCAGCTT